TTTAGATGACAGCGCTGTCGAGAAGCTTCGTATGGACCTTACCACTGTCTTCGGCATCATTTCCGCCCATGGTCAACTGGTCAGCTTGACCTGGATACCGCGGATCCTTGGCGTGGCATTATCTGAAGACGTTTGGGCAGCCATCTCCTCTGTATTCGCGCCGCTAGAGAGGCTCGAAATCTACATTTCTTCCACAGAACACGGCGTCTCTGTGAGTGCTGACTATTTAACTGGCACGAACTCACTCGCATTATCAGCGGTCTCTGACACGCACTCGTTTTGACCGATTGCGAGTATTTCGATTGACAATGCCAAACGCTCATGGATGGAATTGCGAACATCTTCAGTCGATGCTCGGGACCCTCCGTTACCTCGAAGAACTGGCTTTGGATTTTCCTGTCTGCTGTGGCCCCCGCGGGATCACACTTGACTTCACCCATCCCCACCTCAAGCGATTCTCATTCACCAGCTGCGCATTGCTAGGTGGGGATTCCGATTTCTTGGTGCGCCACCCGGCAATCGAAAGCCTCTTCCTCGAAACTGAGCAGCCGTTCAATACTGGCATCCACCCGGGAATGCTCAGGGCCCTAAACATCGACGAAGGGTCATGGTACCACTACCCAACACTACTAGATTCCCAAATTACTCATCTCCGTCTTCGCGAGATTGATGCATACACGGATTCGGAGCTGGTGGAGGCGGTACGCGCACTGGGGTGTACCCTTCGCTGTCTTGAGCTAGACGACTGGAGCGACGCAGGAACCCCACTTCCTCCACATCTCATCCCTCTCGTCCAGAGCGCGCCGGCTCTCGACGAACTGGGAATCATCCGTTATGACTCATCGACCCCCTCGCTGGACTGGCCTTCCACACTCCTCGTAAGGCTGTTCTGAATCATTATGTCTTGGTGCGCTGATCGTATCTGCCACAGTGTGACCTCCTGGCCGCCATCGGCCCCGCTGCACCACTGCGCGCGCTCCGCTTCCGCTGTGGTATGGCTCTGCCGCAAGAGCGGCTCCGTGACCTCGGACCTATTCCACCGCGATTAAAGTACATTGGCTGGGATGTCGGGCGTAGGGACATCCTGTCTGAATCCGTCGTGCACGTGTTGGAGGAACGGAACGACAAGAAGGTTGTAGTAGAGACCTTGGCTCGCCCGAAAACCAACGATTGGTGGGCGCAGGGAGTTCTCCATTTCATGGGAGAGTCCTGGACTTCGTGATGCCACGGTATTGCTTCATGAACTGTGAGAATGGACTTGCGTGCCACGTCGGACTTCGAGAAGGAGACTAAGGTCGGCGCGGGAGTTGCGGGGTGCGGATGATTCTCCAAATGCTCCACACGTACTCGGGTGGAATATCCCATGTATTCACATCTATTTCATTTGCTCATCCCGGTTGTGGCTAGGACTCTGTCGCGCAATTGTGATTCTCGTTTCGTCGTGATCAGAGAGTACACTGCACATTCGCCTGCTAATTGCGTCCTAGACCCTTCAAGACAAGCACGGCTCTTCGCTTTTTATCCCAGAAACACTCCTCTAGCGGCTGTGCAAGCTGTTTGTCGCTCATCTTGTATACAAGACGTTGGAACATTGCCAAGGCCCCAGGGGCATCTGGGCGCTGTCTGGGGTCATCGCGGCGAAGTTTCCGTACAAAGGGTATAATGAAGTCAAGGCCTGTGTAATTCTGTGCGCCGTGATCAGTCGAAGTCAAATTGAGCATATGGAAGGATTGAATTTCACCGAAAGGAAGCTCCAGCGCAGCATTTCACCCACGAGACGCACATCGACCATGAACGGGTCGTATGGAACTGTGGCGGAGAGTTCTGGAATGTGCTTGCGCAGACGGCCGACGTTTCCCGTGGCGAGCCCGCGCGTTTGGAAGCTGGAGAAGCGCACGGCTAGCCCGAAGTCGATAAAATAATATTGTACCGGGAGCCCAGCATCTGTACGGGACTTGATGATGTGGGGCTCGGAGTCGTCGCCTGCGTATTCGCGCAGATAATTGACCCCGTCGCTGGTCAATGGATTGAGGAAGTGAAAGCCGCCGGGGATCATTCGCGACGCGTTCATGACAATGTTCGCGATACTGATGTCGCTGGAGGCACCCTAAGCGCGTTGACCATGCAAGATGCAGTTTAATCCGTACCGGTGAGCGATGTTCTTGCTATGCATGAAGACGAGGCCCTGGAGGAACTCACTCAACCTTGGGATCGCGAGAACCAGGCTGAGATTAACAGTACCTCGAGCACTTGGATCACAAACTCTGTGAATTCGCGGACAGTAGCGAACCAGGGATGGGAACATTGTCGCATGCGGGGCATTACCAACAGCTCCCGCTCCGGATCATCGTACAAAGGGATCAGCTCGAGAACTGGGACGGTATATCTGCCGGCGCAGGGTTCGTTCGCAAGTCGGATCGCAATAGCCGCCTCCGTCGACTTTGTTCGGACGACCTTCAAAACTACCTGCGCGCCGTCCGAAATACGTGTGGCGTCGAGGACATCGAAGCCCTGAAATCTCGAATGAGCGGTAGTCCAAGTCGTATGAGGATACAGGACTAACCAGCGCTGGGATAGCATCTTCACACTCCCATGGATCCTTCCGCAAAGCAACGACGTCTGAGACCCAACCACATCGATACCGCCGCCGCAACATGTAACCCCGGCGCTCGAGGAAAGGCTGATAGTGCGCCCACTTTCGTTCGCGGTGGCCCAGCGTGTTGCATGGAGAGCCTCCGTGACCGAGTTCCAAGGCCATGGTAGTAGTGACAAGACACGTTTTAACCCCTGTTGTCTCGATCACAAGTGGAGTCTTCAACGACAGGCGTAATAGAGAGTTTGCGGTGAGCCACCAGTGTAACTAGTGGCTCCTGGTATAAAATGATATCACAAGCTTTGAGGCTGTGGTAGCCACTATTTCATCCTCTCCTTAGGAGCTAGAAATAGTGGCTGAACTGGCCCTAGAGGATGGCAAGTTGCAGAGAAAAATTAGCCACCAGTTGATCTGGTGGCTCACCGCAAACTCTCTAATGTTGACCAGGAAAGATGGTATTGACCTTCATGGCGGGCGGTTCAATTGGTCAAACTAAAAATCCGAGCTATGGAGCAGGACCCGGGAAATTTGGGCATGTTTTCCATTGGGTTGTGGGTCGAGTTCGCCGTCGTTCACGAGGGGTGGGGGATGGCTGAAGCTAACGGTTATAGGTCGACTAGCATCGACGAGTATTCCATTCACTCAGTCGGATCTCTCAGATCTGCGAGAGGAAATTATATGGAGTTGTTCGGCAGGGGACAAGCTACGGAGCGAGTTCTTCCAGAGGGATGGCTTCTACGGTGCTGCTGGCTCAGGAATCAGTCCTAGGGCCAGTATAGATGGGTGTCATTGATACGGGTAGAGCTCGCGCAAATATTGTCGCTCTATTCCAGTTTCTCCAGCTCTTCCAATCGCAGGAGAACTACATCCTTGCTGGTCTCTTGAATTTCTCCGGCAAGGAATATTTCGTCTAGCACCGCGTACACCTTTTCGCCAGTGTTAGATTTTTGGCGTCATGGAAGGTGACCACTGACCTTGTAGAAATTAAACACCAAGTCCAACTCATTTACATTTTCAAAGAAGTTGTCTATGAACAGAATTCTTCAGTTTTTTTGACGCGGACCATGGACGACATTCACCTAGGACCTCGACGAAAAAATGTATGGCCTCAAGATATGCAAGCTCATTGTCGTTCGCATCGACGCAAACACAGAAGAAGAGGCCCGCGTACCGCCGATAGACAATCTTATAGTTGCGGAACTACCACGGCTGCATTCAGCGTCTTCGCACGGGTGACATTAGACTTGACACGAACCTCGATGAAGTTTGACTGATATTTGTGGTCCCTGGAGCTCACCACTCGATGAACTTCCCCGCGTAAACGGACCTAAATCCCAGCGCTCAGCTTGCGAAGGGCGTGGGATTTGCAAATGGCCCACCTTTTCGTCATCCTCGTACGGGACATACCACTTCGACAACCGGGTTTTACCTTGTCGATTCTGCAAAAGCGTGAAATCAGGATCGACTCCCGAGTAATGGCCCCGGTCTGACCTGCACAAGGATGAATCGAATCATCGAAGCCAGTGGCGCGCGGGAGAGAAGCGTGCACAGCCTCGGAGCGGCGGCATCCCGATCATTGAATCATTGATGAAACCATGTTCTACCACGTTCAACCGCACATTTCAAGGAATTTCTTAGCGCTCAGTGCCCTCTTGGCGCGGCGTTCCGGGTGTATGACACCGTCGTAATTCAAAACTGCCGAAGATGGCTGAAAGTGGAGGGTTTGTGCCAAAGCCGCACGGGATTGCCGAGCATATGGAGGAGTAGCGAACATTCTGGTGAGCCCTCAAAGTGCTGGGGAGGATTCCGATGACCTCCGCAAGTTGTTTCATTCGGCATTTGTTCGGTGAGTGTTGTGGTTGAGCTGGCAAATCAAACATCAAAGATCTAGAACTCAACATTCAAGATCTCGAGAGAATAGGGCTTGCTCGTCAGGAATTACGGGTTGATCCCTGGTCGCGCCCGTCCCTGCCTATTTCATCCTCATCCAGTGTTTTTTTTGCATTAACTTGCCCACCCGAGCTTCTCAGGCTTTTGTCTCCGGCTTGTCTTTATTCTGGTCCAAGCCAGCCCTCTTTCCCCTGTTGTAACCACTGCACCCCTTCTCTTCCATCCACAATCAGAGGCAGAACACTGGCACCTCACAGCATAAAATAGGCCTTGACTGAAGTAGGCTGTCTCAAAGATTCTTCAGGTGTGGCAGAAAGATCCTAAGACATATAAATAGCCTCAAGTCAGACCTAGTTGAGATGAACTAAGGTCAGAGTCTATATGATGTCAAATCCAAATGCAAAGCGGAGAATGCCGGCCCACTTTCCTGACACAAGGCATTCAGATTTGGGCCACATGCCGCAGAGCAAGCTAAGGGTGTGCGGCATTGGGAAAAAGTGGGAGAAGGAGCAAAAACTGGTTCGACCCGGGTTCGAACCGGAGACCTCCTGTGCACAGAGACTAATATCAAATTTCTGATGTGAGACAGACGTGATAACCAACTACACCATCGAACCATGTAACAGGGCGGAGTCGTTTGTTCTCGTTACCAGCAGACGCTCTGTTGGTCACAATTGTTTTCAATTTTATAATTGCATCCAGTCTACTGGGGATCAATGGAGCCGTCCACAATGGGCCACAACAGACTCTATACAGCGAGGTACGAGCTTGGTCCATATAGAGTGTCTGTCCATGAGAGACTAACCCAAAATACTGATTCGGCACTTCGGCAACCAACAAATTTTAGCGTGACACCTCCAAAAATTCGGCATTCAAGATGAAAAATTTCGAAAAATTCTGCCTTTTTTGCATCTCCAAGGGAGATTTGGCCCTAATGTCATGTATTTTACATTCGGCACTGGGTGCCGTGACCTGTGACCGAGACCAAAATTCATCGCGGCACAGGGGGTGCGTGATGTGTGACCGCCGAATTGAATGAAATTGTACAGTAATTATAAAATTTCTATACCATAGGACTGTATGTACCAGTAGACTCAACTGTGGAATCAAGAGTTTGGTAAGCAGTTTTTTTCTTTTGTTAAATTGGGAGGTGATGACATGTCTGCCCATCTTTTCCATGGGTGTCAGACATGATAACCAACTGACCATGTAGAGTTAAAAATCCCCTCTAGGGCTGGCTGCTGTGCTGTATATGGTCATGGCCATAGTAGATTTATAGACTGTGACCGCTTCACTACGGGTCTGCACAAAATAAGGCTCAAACTCACCTGGACATGGCTCGGTGGTGGTGGGGTCACACCTGTGTTCTGTAGCTTCCCTTTCCTATCCATCATGCAGGGGTCTCCATTCGATTCGGGACCAAGCCATGTATGCCTTCGCCACTAGCTCTTTTTTCAACATCTATTTTGTGGTGTCTTTACTCCAAGTTAATAATCATGATATATGCAACCACTTTCCTTAAGCAATTGTGAATGCGAATCCAGGCATGCATGCCCAGTAGGAATCACCTTTGACCACTCCCATATGCAACAAGAGTCGATTCAGTTTGGCTGACTAAGGAGGCGGGTGCCAAATGGCGTGAATGACATGGTTTGGATGTGGCTTGGGGGTGGGAGGTGTCATGAATCGCCCGGGTTCTACTTTTTCGCGCGACGCGTCCATATGGATACAGATGTGTCTTAGCGGCACGGGACTCTCATGACGCCACCACGTGACCTTCTCACGGGTTGAAACCCGGCCTCGGATTCTAAAAAGCCGCAGACTCAGGGAGTCTGCGCCACGGAATACAGAAGACGTTAGGGACTAGGAACCCGTACAGACGGGCTCTAGTCCCCGGACGCACCAAGGGCTGACACAGGAGAGTACACGGAGTACAGGAGTGGTTGCAAACCCGATTGGGGTTTGAACCACTGGATACGAGGACACTTAGGACTAGGAAACCCGAATGTTTGGTCTCCTAGGTCCACCGACACCACGGAAACCAACACAGAGGAGTCCAGGAGCATCAGCATTAATGCTCCTTAATGCTACGGTGCAGGAACTGATCGCGATTGACAGCGATCGCTTTAATTTATTAGAAGCCTATATAAGCACAGTAGAATCTCCATGTACAGTAGATTCTACCTCGTCTAATCTCAGGCTTCTACCTTGGCTTGACATAGGCATTGTTTCCACCCTGCCCCGCTTCCCTTGCACCGTACTACGGGTTGTATCCACGCCCCGGGTTTTGTACCTGAGTGGATATCACACCCTCTTTGACTCATTCCGGGTTCCGCCTCGCATCCCGACCTACGACATACGGCCTCCTAGGGAGGACGCCGTATGACTGGTCCTACTGCTCGGGGAACATACGAGCTACTAGCGTCTATCGGGTTTATCCTGGTTGGGGTTCTCGTCGGGTTACTCGTTGTTTAGCCGACCCAGAGGCCATGGCTGACAGGAGGTCCGCACCTGTTTCCTGCGCAGAAATGTTTCTATTGCAAGTAGGGGCTCCCGCTCAATTTGGGAACAAGCCGTATTGACCCATATAGAGACACATCAATTTCTTGTTCTGCTGTCTATGGACTCTGCCACAAAACCTGAACCCAAGATATATATAGTTTAGCCTTTTGATGGCTTGGTTTGACCGAAGAATCCAACAACCCAAAATACCCGCTCCTTGGATTAATTTCAACATAGGTTGGGTTGATGGGAAGAAAATGGACTTGGGAAGGTCTGCACAAAATCTGGTTCAAAATGAGATGGATATGGCTTGGTAGCGGGAGGTCCGCACCTGTGTTCTATACAGCAATTCTTTGCAATCACGCAGGGTCTGTCTCCGTTCGATTCGGGACTAAGCCATGAAGCCCTTAGCAGTTTTTCCCCCTCGATTGACGGGGCCGTGTGAACTAGGGACGCGTCAATATTTTTGTTTGAGGTCTGCGAATCTGGAACTCAAAGGTATGTACGTATACATACTTGTGGAGTACAGTTATATGTCTGTCATCTGACAACCCGCCAACTGTATAATTTCCGCACGTTGGATTTGTTTTCCCACGTTGGGCTGAGAGCCCGGGCAAGGAAATGGATTATTCGCCGATGGCTTGCCTCTTCTACGGAAAGTGCGCACAAAACGAGGTTCAAAATGGCACGGATATGGCTTGGTAGCGGGAGGGCCGCACCTGTGTTCTATATGCTGGAAATTAGCAATCACGCAGGGTCTGTCTCCGTTCGATTCGGGACCAAGCCATGAATCTGAAGAGCAGGGATGTTTTTTCCTCCATTAACCGGGCCGTGTTGAACTAGGGACGCGTCAATGTTTTGTTTGAGGTCTGTGAATGGAACTCAAAGGTATGTACGTATACATACTCGTGCAGTCCAGTTATATGTCGGTCGTCTGACAACCCGACGACTGCATAATTTCCGCACGTTGGATTTGTTTTCCCACGTTGGGCTGAGGGTCCGGGCGAGAAAATGGATTATTACCCGATGGCTTGCCTATTCTCCGGAAAGTGCGCACAAAACGAGGTTCAAAATGGCACGGATATGGCTTGGTAGCGGGAGGTCCGCACCTGTTCTCCATCCATATGGGATCCATAAAATAACAAATAGGCGCCCCCGTTCGATTCGGGACCAAGCCATAAGAATATCGATGTGTTAAGCTTTTTGTCCTTCATCGGACGTTCCCTCAATTTATCGTCGGTTTTTTACGTCTTGTTTGATGGAATCTTCACCCCTACTTATGGTTGAACGCCATTCAATTCGGTTCCATGTCAAGTGCAATCGCTAAGGTGGGCCCACAAATGGGCTGAACAACCTCCACTTCAAACTGGTATGAATATGGCCTGGTAGCGCTGCTCTCTGTACCCAGCGGTTTTGGGACTTGCAAGCAGGCTCCTGTTCGACTCGGGGCTAGGCGTTATGGCGCGTTCTGGTTTTTCTCGCGGGCATAAAGTTCTTTCATTTCTTTTATGCAATTTGCCTCTGCACCAATTTCGACTGAGCGCATTTAGATGCATCGACTTGCCGGTGACCTAGTTAACGTTACTCAGGTGTCGGTTGGTTCAATTCTATTGGGTATTAATGGAACTCGTATCTCCAGCACGCGGCTCCAAAAGGCTTGATTAGTTGGAGGCTCCGCTGAAAGGGAAAAATGGCCTGGTAGCGGGTGGCCCGCACCCGTTCTCTGTGAGTAAAAAGTCCTGTTCCACAGTTGCACAGGCACTCCCGTTCGATTCGGGGCTAGGCCATAACATTCGCTTGCATGTCTTTTTTTCTCCATAGCAAGCTAAGGATTTTCATCGACTTATGCGCGTCAGTAAGCCCATGCGATGAACCAGAGCCTCCGAAATCACGGTTGAAACTACGCGTTGTTTGTGCGTATGTACGCGTCTGATGTCACGTGTCACGCGACTCGCACCAAATCCAGAATTATCCGTGCTCCAAGCTCCCACTCTCCTTGTCTCTTATCGCACCCCCACACTCAAAATGAGCTCCGCACAAAGGACACTCCGGCTCCGTCCCCGAATCTAAAGCACCTGCGGCGGGGGTGGGAAAGAAGAGTAAACGCAAGTCCGCGGAATCTCCCGCCCCAAGCCCAAAAAAATCAAAGGCCAAGGCCACTGCGGCTGAATCCGTCTCCGTCTCCGCCGCTGCTGCACCGATTCTAACCGCATCCTCCTCACTCCCCGGCGCGTTCGACGGCGCGCCGGGTGCGGATGACCCAAGGGTGAAGGCGCACTAGGAGGCAAAGAAGAAGGCGTCGGCTGCCTCGGTGTCTTCGAAGGCTTCACCTCCTTTTGCACCTGTCCCGGTACCCGCGCCCGTGCCTGGACGCGCGTCGGGGATCACACTACCTCCACTTACAACACCACCACCACCACCAGTGTCACCGAAGACAGCCTCCCGGAAGAAGAGGAAGCCGAGTCGGAGACGGAGGAGATCCCCTTGCCGGGCATGCGCCCCAAGGCGAGCCTGAACAAGCCCCCGAAGCGCCCGTTGGCGGAGAGGTTGCTCCCGAAGCCGAGGAAGACGGGAGTGGATGAGTGAGTTGTTTCCTTTCTTTTGTTTTTTTGTTCTTTGCTTTCGCCTCGTTACGCTTTGTTTTCACCTCGTTACGCTTTGCTTTTGCCTGCGTCCCGTGTTGGGGTTCTTTTTTTCGTACTTGCTTCTGTCTTTCTTTCTTTCGGCACGGTGTCTGGGAACGTTGTCGACGACTGGACTGCGCCGCAGCGTGCAGGGGACGTTTCGCGGGTGCGACTTGCGCTGCTTCTAAAGTCGACCGACACCCGCGCTCCACTCTTCGTCTCTCTTCCCTTCCTTCTTCTCGTCATTCTCGCGCCGCCCTCCCCATTCTCTTAATTCTTGATTCTCGCTCCGCCCACAGTCGCGGATGCGGATGGATGGGATGAGATGCGTGGCACATTACTGGGGAACCCGCTGCCGCTGCGTCGAGCCTTGATGCTCGACTTTTTTCGCGTCCTCTCTTCAGCTTTCTTCAGTTCTCTGCGTTCTCTCTTCTTTCTCTCTCTCTTCTGTTCTTGGCGTTTGGCAATTTCTCTGAACTCGGGATTCTTTG